CAACCTCCAACTCCTGGGCTCAAGCGAGTCTCCTGCCTCAGCCTCCCAAGTAGCTGGGACCACAGGCGCCCGCCACAATGCCTGGCCATTTTTTGATTGCAGCCATGATTGTTGTTTGGCGGGCCTGGGCTGGATTTGAACCCGCCACCTTAGGTGTATGTGGCTGGCACCCTAGCCACTTGAGCCACAGGCCCCAAGCCAATATGCTACACTTTTAATATTTATATTATTTCTTATTGTGTTGGGCATTGGGGTTTTTTTGTGTGTGTGTGGGTGTCCAGGTTCTTATTTCTGCCACCCAGACTAGAGTGCCATGGCCTCAGTATAGTTCACAGCAACCTCAGACTCCTGGGCTCAAGCAATCTTCCTGCCTCAGCAGAGCCTACAAGTGCCTGTCACATAGCCCAGCTAATTTCTTTATTTTTTTAGTAGAGATGGGGTCTCTCTCTTACTCAGGTTGGTCTCAGACTGTTGAGCTCAAGCATTCCCTACTCATCCTCCCAGAGTGCTCAGATTAAAGGTGTGAGCCACTGTTGTATTGTTATTTTTTGTTAATTTCCATATATTTTCAACCTGCACTTCTTGAATCCATGGATGTGGAACCTGCAGATATAGAGAGCTGACTGTATTGACTGCATTCACACTATAGCACAACCAATCTCTAGAACTCGAACTTTCTTCCCGTTAAACAACTGTCCATCCTCCCCTCCTGGCAACCACTGTTCTACTTTTCTGCTTTCTGTCTTTATGATTTTAACTACTCCTGATACCTCGAATGAGTGAATCTTATACTATTTGTCTTTGTGACTGGCTTATTTCACTTAGCATAATGTCCTCAAGGTTCATCTGTGTTACAGCATATGCCAGAATGTCCTTCCTTTTGAAGGCCGAATAATATTCCATTGTATGCATATACCATGTTTTGTTTATACATTCCTCTATTCCTGTATTTCCTTTTAGACTGTGAGAACATTCTCTTTGAAAGGAATGACTACCAAGCTTTTTGGTCAAGAAGCTCCGGAGCAGAGAGAGGCCAGAATAAAGGTGCTAGAAGAACAAATAAATGAAGGGGAACAACAATTAAAGTCTAAAAATCTGGAAGGCAGGTAAAAATGCTAAGATATTTAACAGAGTTAGACTTGTAGACTTCGTAGCGGATTATTTTTATTTATAAAAATTTCCAGCTTAGGCTTGGCACCTGTGGCTCAAGTGGCTAAGGCATCAGCCACGTACACCTAAGGTGGTGGGTTCGAATCCAGCCTGGGCCCACCAAACAACAATAACAGCTGCAACCAAAAAATAGCCGGGTGTTGTGGAAGGTGCCTGTGGTCCCAGCTACTGGGGAGGCAGAGGCAAGAGACTCGCTTGAGCCCAGGAGTTGGAGGTTGCTGTGAGCTGTGATGCCACAGCTCTCTACCCAGGGGGATAGCTTGAGGCTCTTTCTCAAAAAAAAAAATTTCCAGCTTCAGGGGCGCTGTGAGCTCATGCCTATTAATCTCAGCACTCTGGGGTGCCAAGAGGCGTGGATTACCTCAGTTTGTGCATTGCCTCATTTCAGGAGTTGGAGACTAGCCTAAGCCGGAGCAAGAGCCCATCTCTAAAAATACCCAGGCATTGTGCAGGCGCCTCTAGTTCCAGCTACTCTGGAGGCTGAGGCAAGAGCATCACTTGAGCATGAGAGTTTGAGGTTGCTGTGAGCTGTGATGCTACAGCACTCTACCAAGGGTGACAGAATGAGAATCTGTCTCAAAAAAAAAACAAACAAAAAGGCTAAGGCGCCAGCCACGTACACCCAAGGTACTCTACCCAGGGGGACAGCTTGAGGCTCTGTCTCCCAAAAACAAACAAAAACAAACAAAAAACATTCCAGCTTTTAGGGAGTGGGGAGGAGAAGGGAGACAGGTATGCCCCGACTTGATGGACACAATGTTAGGGTGTAGGACACACCTCTTGGGGGAGGCACAATTATTAGAGGGACTCTACCTAACAAATGCAAACATTGTTACCTAATTCTCTATATCCTCAAATGAACCTGAAACAATAATAATTAAAAAAAAAATTCCAGCTTCATTAGCATCCTGGATTCAGCCTGTTCTAAAATGCAGTGGTGCAATCCTAAGAAATTTGAGTTATCAGCTCTGCACCTGTGGCTCAAGTGGCTAAGGTACCAGCCACGTACACCCAAGGTGGCGGGTTTAAATCCAGCCCAGGCCTGCCAAACAACAATGATGGCTGCAACCCGTGAAGCCATGGCACTCTACCCAGGCGGACAGCTGGAGGCTCCTGTCTCAAAAAAAAAAAAAGAAAGAAATTTGAGTTATCAAAAATCATATTAGGGCTCCTGTGGCTCAAAGGAATAGGGCGCCAGTCCCATATACCAGAGGTGGTGAGTTCAAATCCAGCCCTGGCCAAAAACTGCAAAAAAAAAAAAAAGGTAATAATAACAAAATAAAAAGCACAGTCCATTTGAAATTATCATGAGGCTTTAAAAAAAAAATCATATTATGGGGTAGCACCTGTGGCTCAGTGAGTAGGGTGCCAGCCCCATATACCAAGGGTGACCGGTTCAACCCCAGCCCCGGCCAAACTGCAACAAAAAAATTAGCTGGCCATTGTGGCAGGTGCCTGTAGTCCCAGCTACTCAGGAGGCTGAGGCAAGAGAATCACTTAAGCACAAGAGCTGGAGGGTGCTATGAGCTGTGATGTCACCACACTCTACTGAGGGTGACAAAGTGAGACTCTGTCTCTAAAAAAAGAAAAAAATCATATTATGGAAACAGTTGTTTCAGTATAGGGGAAAGAGGAAGAAGAGATTAGCTTTGTAATATTTTCCTACACTTTCCATGATTTCTGTGCTTTGTGCAATCCCTCTGCTCTTTTCTCTCATTTAAAGGAAGCCCATCCATGCTTCAGTACTCGTGTTACTTCATCGTGAAGCCCTCGCTTAGCCTGTCAGCCCATCACAGCACTCAGTTCTTTGCACTGCAACTTGGCATTGTGTTTGGGTGTCTGTTCTGTGCTACTCTCACTGGCTAATAGCCCTTCAAAGTCAGTGGCTGTCTCTTTCATCTTACCCTTTCCAAACCAACTTTTCTGCCACCCAAATACTCCCCAGCTATTATTTATTTAGGGCAGGAAAGAGATTGGTGGATTACTTGTAATTATCCTACAGTTTTAAAAGAGAAAAGCTTAAATATGAACTCACCTAGTGATTTTATTATCTATTTTAGGTTACATAAAATAATTAAAGTGTCTTTGTTTATTTTTGTTTCTTTAGAGTGTGATACTTTTTTTTTTTTTTTTTTTGTGGAGACAGAGTCTCACTTTATCCTGGTGTCACACAGCTCACAGCAACCTCCAACTCCCAGGCTTAGGCATTTCTCTTGCCTCAGCCTCCCAAGTAGCTGGGGTTATAGGTGCCCACCACAACACCCAGTTATTTTTAGAGACAGGTCTCTCACTGTCTCAGGCTGGTCTCAAACTCCTGAGCTCAGGCAATCCACCTATCTCGGCCCCCCAGAGTGCTAGGATTACAGGCACACCCAGCCTCTACATCCATTTTATATGAATAATTTGAAGGTAGAATTCTTGTGGCAAAAAATGTCAAGTACTAAAATGTAGAAGAATGTATTTAATTTAATAAGAATAGTGACTATACCTTTTATTTCAGAGAATTTGTGAAAAATGCATGGGCTGATATTGAACGCTTCAAAGAACAAAAGAACCGTGATTTAAAGGAGGCCCTCATAAGCTATGCAGTCATGCAGATCAGTATGTGCAAAAAGGTAGGTTTGGGTTTCACTGAAGATTCAGGTTTCTCTACTTAATTTTGAAAGAACTGTTACCTACTAAGTCTCTACTCATCTGAAGTTCCAAATTTGTATCTCTCATTTATGACTTGTATTTGAAAATAGATACCAACATTATTTTGATTATGTGATGTTCTTAGGGGATAGTAAAATACCATCCCTAGTGTATGCTTTAATTGGAAAATAACTTAATCATTATTTGTGAAAGTAACTTACTCATTATTTGGTTATGATGTGGTTTGTTGATAAACCCTTCTTTTTTTTTTT